TAAATATTAATTTTGTTATCAGTAACTTAAAATTAAACTACATATTATTGTTATACACATCAAGGTACTACAATCTGTTGATACCTATGATTTGGCATTGCACAAGGTCATGTCTTTCTCTGACTGTTAATGACGTCTTTACACTAAATCCATTGGATGTTGGATGTGTACTGATTGATATTTTAGTCTTAGATACATGATTTTTGTATTAGTTGTTATTGGCTTTAAACTAGCTGTCAGTACTGCGATTACTCTCAGATCTGTACTTTGTGTCCTTTTTTGTTTGTTAAGGATGTATAAATACCCTGCCACGTCCGGTTTGTGCTATTGGTAGATGTTTTTTTCTGTTTTGTATCGATCTGATATGTTAAGCCCTTTTCAACTGATTTTTATAGTTTGTTCTTATGTTGTTCTGTAACAAAACTCGTCCCAGGTTAACGGGAGGGCTGAGCGTTCACTGGCATGTTTAACCCCGCCACATACTGTATGTACCTGTCCCAAGTTAGGAGCCTGTAGTTCAATGGTTGTCGTTTGTTGATGTCTGTCATATTTGTTTTTCGTTTTATTGTGTTATAAATTAGGCCGTTTTTTCTCAACTGAACTGTTTCATATTTTCATGTCAGAGCCTTTCATAGCCGACTATACCCTACTGGTTTTTTTCTCATTGTTGAAGGTGGTACGGTTGCCTATATATAATTGCTTACATCCACTTCATTTGAACTTTGGGGATAGTTGTCACATTGGCAATCATACCACATCTCCTTATTAAAATGTTGAGGGGGAGGGAGTGAAATTTGTATTTCTTAGGAAAGTTCCAATGTTTTCCTCCCAGGTCAACCAGTTTTAATTGGATATTTTCTCATTTTTCTGTGCCCTTGGATTTGTGTTTAAGGCCAACCAGAGCTTACTGCCTGTTGGTGGGTAGTTGAAGACCATATGGTAAGCTCTAGGTGTCTTTTTGTGTATTGTATATGGTGATTTGGTGATGTCTTCATGCCATTGTCCCATTACTTTATATAGACAGCTTATCAGTCAACCATATCTATCAAAGACGACAAGTGATGGCCAAAGCTCTCCTGGCCTTTTGTATAGTCAGGCGAGAAACAAGATATAAACGGACTTGGCTTGGTATAAACATGTATATTTAGTAAATTCGTATAAATTCAAGTCAAATTAATATTTCAAAACAACATAAAAATATAAAAGTGTAAAAAAAAATTTTTTTTTAATAAATCTTGAAATATTATACATTATTGACTTCAGGTACAAATCCCTGCCCCACCCCAGATAATCAAATGGTTGCTTCCTTGGAAACAATAGAGATTGAAGATGTTGAGAATGAAGATCAGGTAATAATTTTATGTTCTGCGGCGACGTTAAAGGAACACCAATCAGCCAATCGATCTTTATGACTATGGCTTCAGTTGTGTAATATTCCTTGTTGTAAAAGTTCCTTTTCTGCTTTGTGTAGACTTATTAAGACTTGGAATAGATCTACGATGTCTAATGAACGGTCGTGTATGGTTTGGCAATTTTACATGCCTACCGATAATAAAATTGACAATGGAAATGGGGAATATGTCAAAGAGACAACAACCCGACCAAAGAGCAGACAACAGCCGATGTCCAGATATGATACGATGCTACCAGACATAGAAAAAACTGTCCTTTTTTCATGGAAAATTAAACTGTTACAGTATATTAAAGAATACAAAACTAGCTCTCTTTTTTGTAAATACAAATAAAAAGCTGACATGGGTGAGATTAAAGCTAGAAATACCAATCTCCCAATTCACTTAAAAAGACCATATATAGATATAAGAAGATGTGGTATGAGTGCCAATGAGACATTTCTCCATCCAAGTCACAATTTGTAAAAGACAAACCATTATAGGTCAAAGTACGATCTTCAACACGGAGCCTTGGCTCACACCGAACAGCAAGCTACAAAGGGCCCCAAAATGACCAGTGCAAAACCATTCAAACGGGAAAACTATGCAACGGTATAATCTATATAATAAACAAGAAACGAGAACACTTATGAACCACATCAACAAACGGCAACTACTGAACATCAGGTTCCTGACTTAGAACAGGTGCAAACAAATGCAGCGGGTTTAAACGTTTTAATAGGTACCAAATTCACTCTTATCCGAAACAATAATGTAACATATGACCTTTAATATTGAAGGGCTAAACTTGCATTGAGCCGTCTTTAGGCCCTAAAATAGAAAATAAAGAGATGTGCATGGGACAAAATCGCACACAATACATAGAAAAAATACAAATTATCAATGAACAGGGCTTTTATTCCTGTTCTTCATCTTGAAAGTAGCTGGAGGGTCTTCAACGAAGAAAAGAACCATTCATACCCTGAAAACAACAGCCACACACTTGGCTATGTGGATTACAATGTTTTGCTTTATCCTACACCCTGGATTTTTTCTCCAGAAGACCTCAGGTACCCAGCTTCCCTTTGCACCTAGTGCGGACAAAAGTATTGCCGTAGATTTTTTTTATTAACTTTTCGGTAATGGTGTGGTAGAGTGGGTAGCTGAGGTCTACTTGAGAAAAAATCCAGAGTGATGTTCGGCTTAGTCTTTTTTTATAATGTAATAAGCTGGCAAATTATAAAAGCTCATGTCTTAATTGATAGGCATAGAAATAAAAAAGAAAACGTATGAAAACCAATAACATTCTACCGGAGACAAAATAACGTTGGTTTAGGCAACTAGTATGATGGTCTGGATGCGTATTTCTTCATTTCTGTATTCTTTGATATTCTATTCCATTTTTCTTTATCTTTAATCAGTGTTTCAGGCCATTTTTCCCTATTCTTTATCATGTTTATTTCTTTATACTTTTTGCCAATTATTCTATTCTTTTTATATTTTAACACCTCATTATTCTATTTTTTTTATTTCTTGGTCCATTGTCTCTATTATTTATATTTTTTGCCCACTATTCTCTATTCCGTAAACCCCCATCCACACCCAGGCTCTAGTTAAGGTCACCATATACATATAGCTTTCAAAAATAAGCAAAACTAATACCGAGTAGGCTCCGAATGGCAAAATGATTGAATGCTAATCCCGGTTTGAATTGTGAAATTGCGGAAATTTGTTTTTCAATCAACTGATCAAGCAAAACACATTATCGTCCTGAATGTTCGTATAATGGACCCTGGTTATGAATTCTAATCATCTGAGATCAACCCTTCTAAATTTAAAAATAAAGATAACGCACCCTTATTGTTCAGATTGATAAAGTCTTTTGCATCCGTCGACATTATCTTCGATTAAAGATCTGATAACCACAGTGACTGTGCATGTATACTTTAACGACCGGGGTAGTTTTCTTATAAGTTTTTAAAAGTAGTAACCTCCCTTGTTAATGTGATGTTGTAATCAATCTATTTATTTGTACCATCTTTATATAATATTATATTGTACAATTTAAATTTATGATTCGTTTAATATCTAAATATAATAATTTATTTTTTATTAAAGATATAAACAAGGTAATTTGAAAGGTTTTGATTCATTTATCACCGTAGTTCAATTCATAAGTCAGGCGGTCTATTTTGTCTACATTATGTTGAAAGAACACCGGGGTGTTTACATTGGCATTATTTACTATCAATGACTGTGAAACAAGAAAGGAAAACATTGTACATTATAAAACGAGAAATAATTGAAATTAAATACAAAATTCTTGTTTAGTGAAAACGAAAAACGGAAACACTTTAGATTTTCATTTTGGTTTTAGAGAAATCAAAAACAAAAAATGAAAACACTTTCGTTTTCCGTTTTGGTTTTAGAGAAATGAAAAACGAAAAATGAAAACACTTTTGTTTTTCGTTTTGGTTTTTCAGAAATCAAAAACGAAAAATGAAAACACTCTCGTTTTTTGTATTTTGTTTTTGATATTTCAAAATGAAAAACGAATGGACGCAAATATACACGGACCGGAAACACTTTAGATTTTCATTTTGGTTTTAGAGAAATCAAAAACAAAAAATGAAAACACTTTCGTTTTCCGTTTTGGTTTTAGAGAAATCAAAAACGAAAAATGAAAACACTTTTGTTTTTCGTTTTGGTTTTAGAGAAATCAAAAACGAACAATGAAAACACTTTTGTTTTTCGTTTTGGTTTTTGAGAAATCAAAAACGAAAAATGAAAACACTCTCGCTTTTTGTATTTTGTTTTTGATATTTAAAAATGAAAAACGAATGGACGCAAATATACACGGACCTTCAAAAGAATATAGTACATGTATATATATGTTCTCTGTAAATAAATCTTAGTTATTCGATGTACACAAAAAAACACTTCGTTAAAACTGGTTCAGTAGTTATCAAAAAGATTCCTCAATATACTCCTCAATATACTTCCAGTAGGCTGTTATTTACAGCAATGTTCCTTGCATGAGAATTATAATGTATATATTGGAACATATTTCAACTTGAAATAGTTCAAGTACTAAAGGGTTTTGGGGAAAGCTACAGTGATAAACAACTATATTTTGTTATTCACAATTAATGTTTTTATATGTAAAATCTTTGCAACACGATGATCATATTTCTCCCTTTATGCATATACTAAAATTATGCTTGTATTTCAAGTACTTTAAGTTCACAGTTAAACTTGCTTGCTTTATAGAAACGTAAAAACCGAAGTCAACAGGAATTTTGATAAAGGAAAAATGACGCCCAAATGTTAATCTGTCTTAATAAAAGAATCAGTTGTGTAGTTTTATTCTCTTTTCGTTAATAACATGTAAATAATAATTCGGAATAAGCAGAAAATTGTAATGCATAGTTTCTCTCTCACTTTTACGACAGATGACTGATATTTCAGTGCAAATTTAAGCATCCGACCAAACTTCATGATTACTTCGGACATACAAATTGAAAACAAACAGAAACACGTAGAATATAGATTTCATAATGTAATGAAACGGTATTATAATTTACAAAGTAGATAGGAAAATGAACAAACCTTCATTCATCATTTGTTTCGTTGGACAAGTTTGTTTAAAGCATGTACACTCCTCTTCTGACGGTAAGCAGAACACTTTGTTTCTTGGAATTGTATGGAAAGCATATCGTCTAGTATAATCGCACTTGCATGTACGATCTGACGTTTCATCACCTATCCTGTGTTCTATTTGACCCTCTTCTGCGCAGTATGATTTGACAAAGTAGCATTGGTGGTTCTCATTGGATAAGAAATTAAATGGTTGGTATCTGTCAGCTTGACACTTTTCATAGTCAATGTACTTCCCACGAAGCACAGGATGGAAACCTACATTAAAGAACAATCAAAATTTATTTTAATATTTGTGTAAAGAAACTTGGCTGTACAGCAATGTTTTAACTGAATGGTAATTTGAAAAGTGAACCATTTATGTGATTTGATTGGAAAAGTTGGAATTATTGTTTTGTAATGCACCCGCTTCATCAATCAGGATAAAGCCACGATAGCTACTTAATCTATGTACACTGAAATATAGTCCAAATAATTGTCAAGTCTGTATGAATATACACATATGAACTGTGAACAACTTAGTTAATATCTTAAGAATAGATTATTCAAGTATACATGTCATAAGTTTTGTCACTTTGCTGCCTAGTTTATCATCTTATTAGAGTACCGATTGACAACTGCCATGATCAACACACAATTACAAAACATGAGGCTTCTAAAAGCATGAGTTGTTCAACTTACAAAAAATGTTGTCGTTTTGTTTTGTTTTGATGATCGTTTTTGTTGTTTACAGGTTCTTCCTATGTATTATAGTTTACGGGACAAAAGACAAAAAAGGAAAACTAATAAAATATTTCGTCATTTAATCACAACAACTCCTGTATGGAACAATCCAATGGTTTCAGCAATGTTTGCATGTTTGCATATTTTGCATTGAAGATCAGATGTGCTCTTTATAGTTTCTTTGTTTCTATTATAGTTTTCGAGATAAAAGTCAAATCAAAAAAATAAATAAATAAATGTCATTTCAGATCAGTTACTCTTATCATGTTTCATCCAAAGTTTCGGCTATCTTAGCATGTTTGTAGATTTTATATAATGATTGATGATCAACTTTGACCCTTTATTAATACCTAATAATAGTTTTACATGTTTATGTAGTTTTCGAGATAATAGGCATACAAGAAAACTAGTCAAAATCGTCATTTAAGGGCAAAAACTCATACCAGGAGTCATCAAATGGTTTCGGTCGTGTTCGCATTTCGATAGATCTTGTACTGATGATATTTTTTTTTATCTGCCAACAGTTTTAAACTTTCTATTGAAGTTACGAGATAACCGCCAAATTCTCGAAAAAATTTCAAAATATACCATTTAAGGATGTACTTAGTTGAAATTAAAAAAATCAAGAATTTAAAATTGATACTATAAGTCGGAAGAGCATTAGTTAATGAACAAAATAAGCTAAAAATATTGATAGGTCATGGAGCTCCTTTTCGAGATATTTGATTTTTAAAATATGGCGGGAAAAGGTTGACTCGGACTTTTACCTTATATTTGCATTGGTATTATTTGGGTCTCAAATCAAAAGAAAAAAAATCAAGAATCTGCTTAAATTTTGGTAAATGACCTTTTATGAGCTATTAAGTCTTATATGAAAAGATAAATGTGTGTTATGGGGCAAACTATTTTACCTTGTATCGTATGGAAAAAAACCAAGGAGTCCGAACATCTGACACAAATTCCAAAACCTCACCTAAGTACATCCTTAAGGGCAAACACTCCTATAAAGTATCTTCCAATTGTTTCGGTCATAGTGTCATTTTGAAAGATCTTGAATGTATTGAATGTCTTTTTTACTATTACAGTTTCTACCCATCTGTTATGATTTTCGATATTTAATGCCAGATAAGAAAAAAAATAAACAAGGAACGAGCTGTCAAATTGACAGCAAACCGAGATTTCTGTATTTTGAAAGGTGCATTCAGGCTTTTATTTTAAACCTGTCACAACATTTCAATATATCAAGGACCGTAACTCCTGAAAAGCAAAAATGAAAATCGTTAATATCGAAATTGACCACTAGCTTGTCATCAATAACAGTATATTAACACTTTAAGAGCATTGGCTGAACGGTTCATAAGTAATTGAACGGAAACGACATAAAGTGCCAATTTCCAATCTAGCAAGGACCGTAACTCCTGAATGACACAAAAAAAATCATCAATTTCAAACTTGACCACCATTTAGTCATCAGCTACATGTTAGTATGAAGGTTTACCCAAAAAGCTGAAAGACAAGCTGCAGGTTATTCAAAATAAAGTTATAAGATTTATACTATATCTTCCTCAGAAAAAACTTATCACTGTAATTCTAAAAATTGGGATTATTGAACATTTGTAACAGAGTGACACAACTGCGTCTAAATCATGTGTTTAATGTTTTTCACGTATGTCCAGAATACTTAAAAAATGTTTGTTTAAGAACTTCCACTCATAGGAATACAATGCGCGATCTGAGATGCAGATTTTATATTTTCTTAGAATGGTTTTTTTTTAATACGATCGTTTTAAGGTCTGCTGTACAGATACTATTTATTGCTATATACTTGAATGATAAAATATTTATCCACAATATTAGGACCCATTGGAAATCAGCCGTTTGCGTTCATGAGTCATCCTTTGGTTTAGGCATCATCACAACAAGGTTTTTGAGCTACTTGTTTCCAAATCTTATATGCATTTGTATATAGCCTTTACATATTCAATAATCAATCTTATTATCATAAAGGAAAATACTTTTTAACTATACATTGAATATAAAGATTTTGTAGTTAAATACATGTACACTGTGACAATACAATATTATAATATATATATTAAAAATCGGTAATAAATCGATCGGACGTACAACAAACACTCTTTTTATGTACAATACCAAAACTATTGGTTCTCTACTTATAGGAAACTATAATAAAATCACACACACACACACACAAATCATATTTTAAACTTTGTTATTTGCTTAATAAAACATATCATCAATACAACGTCCATACCTTTAGAAACCCAGTCCCATGAATTGCAGTTCTTGTAATAACTTTGTTTTAAAGTCTCAGTATTGTCCTTCAGTAAACAATGAAATGGCTTTTCCTCTGAACATTTACCACGTGTAAGCGTATAATTAATGTGTAGATATCGTTCTATAAACTGAGGGCACCTATCCTGGTATGCCATTACACACTGGAAAAGAAATATCTGAAACAAAATATGAAAAAAATCTTTACAGATAAACATTGTTAAGTAACTATATTCAAGAGTTGTAACATAACGGTTTTTTTGGTATTTTTTTTTTTTTTTTTTCTCCTGTTAAGGGCTAATTTTAAAATTATAAGAAGAAAACAGACAAACCAATAGACAATCAACCTCCCACAAAACATTACACAGAAACTGAAAGTTTAAGCAAAACAAACCCAATCAAATACCGGGGTGACCTCAATTCTCTAATTATACCTGCTCCCCTATCTTCACCTACTTCTGCTTCTACTTTGTAGTGACCGCCTTCAACACGTTGAAGTTTATGTCACTTGTACTGCGCATTGCTTTCTGGAGACGTATATACGGTGAAAATTTTTAACAATTTTATAATTATAAACAAAATTGATAATAACATTTTTACATAGTGGTAGTGCATATTTTTATTTTATTTATTTTTTAATATTAAGATAAAACTATTTACACATGATGAATTTACTGACTGTAGGTGTAGGTTGAGATGGCTGCTTTGAACGACTCTATAGAATCGCTCATTACAATACTCAGAGGAAAGCTGTTCCAGTTTTTAATTGTTCGTGGAAAAAATGATTGTTGGCGTATTTGTGTTCTGCCGAATGGAATTTGGTATGAGAGTGTGTGCATGTTCCGGGACTGTCTGAGCAATTGTATTAGTCTGTCTGTTTTTGTGATTGCGATGAGATGATATGTGATTTTTTAAAACACGACAAGGCGTGCATCTGTTCTTCTGTTTGCGAGGTCTCTCCATTTTAAGTGATCTATCATGTCACTAACACTTGATGTGTTTCTGTGTCGGTTAGTGACAAACCTAGCAGCCCTTCTTTGCACCTTTTCTAGTTTGTTTATATCCTCAGTAAAGTAAGGGTCCCATACTGAACAGGCATATTCTAGTGATGGTCTGACTAAAGATGTATATGCCTGTTCTTTTATTGAGGTGGAACTGATGTTAAGATTCCTTCTAAGAAAACCTAGTGTACTGTTAGCCTTATTACAGATGGTGTTTATGTGACTGTGCCATTTTAGGTCTGATTGAATTGTCACGCCTAGGTGTTTTGCCTTGTCAACATGTTCAAGAATGTGGCCATGTAGAGTGTAATTGTATACGAATGGATTTTTATTTCGACTGATGGACATAACATTACACTTGTCAGGATGAAAAGCCATTTTCCATGTATGTTCCCAAATGCCTAGTGTGTTAAGATCTTTTTGAAGGGTTTCGCAATCGCTGTTAGATTTTATTACCAGATAAGCAATGGTGTCGTCTGCAAATAGGCTTATGGTGGAATTTAACCCAACTGGTATATCATTTAAGTAAAACAAAAACAGACTTGGGCCCAGAACAGATCCTTGAGGCACTCCTGACTTCACAGGGACATAGCCTGAAGTCTCACCCTCTAGGATAACTGCTTGGGTACGAAATGATAAAAAGCCCTGTATCCATGCATTTGCTTTCCCCTGTATTCCATAGTGATTTAGTTTGTGTGTTAATAAGTCATGACTGACTTTATCAAAAGCTTTAGAGAAGTCCATTATAATTACATCTGTTTGTTTTGAATTTTCAATATTTTTAGTGACATCATCTATAAATTCCAAAAGCTGAGTTTCACAAGATCTATTTTTTCGAAAGCCGTGTTGTAGGGGATACAGAATGTTATGGTTGTCTGCGTGTGTCATGATTGCGCTAACTGCAACATGTCCCATAATTTTGCAACATATGCATGTTAAAGAAATAGGTCTATAATTCTCTGGATTATACTTGGACCTTTCTTGAAAATGGGTGAGACATATGCAGTTCGCCAGTCAGTGGCGTATTATTCCTGTAAAAACATTGACGAACAACTCCATGATCTGTGGGTATAAAGAAGTCAAAGTGTCAATTAACAGGAAGGAATAATTACTGGGCAGATTTGAAAACCACTTGCAATATTTAATTGATTATAATAAAGTTCAAGACCAAATATAAAATCAGGAATAGAGGTAGATAAAAACCAAATGGATTGTGTTCTGTTATCCGACACTTTTCATTTACTACGACAGTATTTATATATCAAATACTGATTTTGCTACCCTTGTTATATTTCATCACATGTTTTATCCATCAAAAGCGTAAAAGTCGAAAAAAATAATTTTGTGTTGATTTTAAAGATACATATCGACTATTGAATAAATTTGAAAAAAATGAAGAATGTGCTAGTAGGGCACAGATGCCCCCCGCTTGTAAACATATGGCAAATTCAGCAATTTTTCAATTTACAAAGGAACATAACTCGAAAAAAGTGAAAGTGATGACACCCGAATTCGAACTTGATCTGTGTTTGGTGGTAATGAGCATTGTAAATAAGTCAAAACATAACCGAAATCGTCAGTTGACTCCTTACTGAAATTAATGCCCTTTAATGACGATTGTTCCCATTTTTTTCTGCATGTTTATAGGAAAACGAAGATGTGGTATGATTGCCAATGAGACAACTCTTCATAAGAGTTCCAAATGACACAGAAATAAACAACTATAGGTCACCGTACGGCCTTCAACAATGAGCAAAGCCCATACCGCATAGTCAGTTATAAAAGGCCCCGAAATGACAAATGTACAACAATTCAAATGAGAAAACTAACGGCCTAATTTATGTACAAATTAATGAACGAAAAACAAATAAGTAACACAGCAACAAACGACAACCACTGAATTACAGGCTCCTGACTTGGGACAGGCTCATACAGAATAAGGCGGGGTTAACCCTAACCTTAACCTGAGGCAGAGGTGCAACAACACAACACAAGAACAAACTGTACAAAACAATGAAAAAATAACAAATCCAATATACAGAAACGAGAAAAAAAACCACTGAATATGCAGGTTCCTGACTTGGGACAGGCACATACAGAATGTGGCGGGGTTTAACATGTTAGCGGGCGTCCAACCCTCCCCTAACCTGGGACAGTGGTGTAACAGTACAACATAAGAACAAACTATAAAAATCAGTTCAAAAAAGGCTTAACCCATGAGATGGATACAAATAGAAATACATCTAACAAAAACACAGAGTGGACGTGGACGGTAATTTTACATCCCAACAACAAAAAGACATTAAGAACATATCTGAGAGTACTCGCAGTTACTGACAGAGATTTCAAAGCCAATAACTAATAAAAAAAATCATGAATCTAAGACTAAATTATCATTAAGTACACATCCAACATCCAATGGATTTAGTATAAAGACGTCATAAACAGTCACAGAAAAACAATGCCTAGATACAGGTATCGACAGATTGATTGTAGAGCCATAAATGTGCATATGTATATAACAATAATATTTAGTTTGCTTTTAATTTACTGATAACAAAAACAATATTAATACCAATAAAAACAATATTCAAAGATTTAATTACAGTGTTGAATTGGTAACCTTTTAGAATAAGTTTATTTAAAGATCTGTAAAGGATCGATAAGTTTACCCGGATAGATTCTAAATTTCCGGGCACGGTAAACATCTCCGTAAAAATGAGGATGTGCTATCCCGTTTGAATTAAGTTTTCTACAGTTACAACCAAGCTTCAAAACCAATCTTTATATCTATGGAAGAATTTAGTAAAGGTTTTAAGTAATTTGTGGTAACGAAATCCCTGACTTAATAATTTACCAGTAATACGTGTATAGATTACGTTCATTGTTTGTTTTTTTGGCCAATTATTTTGAAAACCATAATAGATAGATAGAAACTTTATTAAGCAAAAATGTTCAGCAAGATAAGATCTAGAAATATGTCAACATCACTGAAATTGTTAGTTAATTCTTTATATAGTTATTGCCCTTTCATGATGATTTTTACCTAGTACAAATGGATGTTGCAGATGTAGGTGAGCTATTTAGAGCCACTAGTTAATAGTGGGTAACACACATTATTCATTTTTATAATGAACTTGTCATATCCCATAGTAAATTAATTTTCAACTAGTAGGTGTTTATTCCGAGTGCTATATCGACTGCATAGACAATTTAAGCTTAAATAGCTTTGGGCGTAAAAGGGGAGATTATATGCATATTTTAAGTGTGAAACAGTGATGTGACAAAGCTATTAATAGATGTTATCTCTTAGTAAATAGTATACAAAACGTACCTGTAGAAATTTCATGGCTATGAAACACACGAAACGCGAATTCATTATCAACTTACTGTAAGATGCATCATTGACCCAGTTCTTTTGAAAAGATTGCTATATTTATTGTCCTGGAATTTCCACTTTCATTTTTAGATGCAATTAGCGACGTCACAATCGAGTAAAAGTTCACTTAGTTTCAATTAATTTTAAAAACGCGATTCTAATTAGCAACTTTAATTTTGTTGAAAATTGTTCCATACGAAGTCAATTATAGATGTATGTAGGTGTAATGTAGCTCAATACCAAAAAGAAACCAATGCACTACAAGGTACACATCACTAATCACATGAATATTATGCAATATGTAAGATCCGTATAAGCGATCATATACTGATGATTGAAAGAGGGAGACATCTAAATATTCCCAGAAATGAAAGATACTGCTCTGTATGTAATTCTGGTCAAATTGAAAATGAAAAACATTTTCTTTTACATTGTGAAAAATACTCAACTAAAAGGGCCATATTTTACCAAAAAGTTTCAAACATAATCGTTGATCCTACAAAATTTCAAAAAAATGAAAATAATGTAATCTTTTTATTAAATAATAATTCATACACAATCCTAAAATTGACTTCCTCTTTCATTTCAGACAGTCTGAACCTGCGTAAAGCAGAACAAACTCTATAAAATTGTCATTATGTCTAATTCATAATCATTGTTTATAATATTACATATTAATATAGTCATTATTTGCAATACTTATTATGTATGATCAGCTATGTAATTAATATACCATGAGCCTTAACCATTTATTGTTGATGAGTTTGTGCTAATAAATATTTGTATTTATTTGTATTATAAAAAATGATTATTTACTATATATACACTATTTATTTTTTGACGGTACGTGTAATTGTAATCGTCCATCGTCCCTGAGCAATCATGGGATAATTGTGATATTTGCGTACAGTAATGTTTTACGAAGAGATATCCGTAGGAAACATGCAGGGAAGTCTTGCTCACTCAGACAACACTTTCTTAATTATAATTTGTCGAATGGAATAATTTGATCTGTTACAAGATGTTCATGGTTAAATCTATTTTAGGATCATTTTGTTTTGGAGTATTCAGTAACATATGTTGCATATTGTCGTGTCCTTGCCTCTCTAATTTTCTTAGCTATTAAACAACGGGTAATTTTTTAAATTATTATTGTATTTTTTTTTTTCACATAATAATAATTTTCACGGGGAATAATTTATTATAATGTTATGATTTATATTTCAAATATGGATGACAATATCAAAATGCCATTCCTATTTCAACTTTTTAAATCTTATAGTTGTCACGTCAATAATGTTTTGCAGGTGTATAATAGTCCAGGAGAAAGTTACCTATTGTAACCTTAACATCACATTCTAATAAGTACATCAGGTACGTTACAGAAAAAATAATACAATCATATTTTTTCGACGAACCATTTGAATAATTAAGAAAACTTCTGTTGGTTAAGATGGTGTTTAATTGAAGGGCGAAGAGTTGAAGAGTCATAAATGTGGACCTTATCAAGAGTAATTTATCTAACACATCAGAGTTTTTTACACCCCCATTACAAAAAAAATCCAATATTTTCTTATTAGAAAAAATCATATTACTCATGACTTGTTTGATAGTAGCTGGGGTATTTCTTAAAATGGCAGAATGATTAGTTGTAGAACGATTAATAGAAGCATACGGCAGAAGAACTTACAATTTTATTCTCGATAATTTACGTCATACTACTACCACAGTCAGCTTAAAAGGAAGATATGGACAAGCAACTTTTTGTGTACTTGGAATTTATTTATGATCATATTTAAATCGGTGTATTTCTTGTTTGTTAATTAGTATATGCCACTAACCCTTCAAATAAATATATATCAAATGCGTTTTGTTAAAATATACTTTTTCACTTTTTTGGTCTTTTTGAAAATGTTGTTTGTGCTGTATTTAGACCCCTCTACCAAGAAATTTGTTTTGTTTTTCGTTTGGGCTTGTATTATATTTGCCTTCGGGTTTATATGATCCGTTCATCCTATTTCGACTCTTCAAAATTCAAGAGTCTATCCTAAATTGAGGTAAATTATATGGCCTTCCAAATACCGTTTCGATTCCTAACATCACTGAAGAGACATTAATTGTCGAAATCCGGATATGGCGTACTAATGTTTGCACCTTTTGTTTGCGGTATACCATCTTTTCCGCAAGTTTATTGTTTTCTGTTTGGTATTAAATTAATAGTTAAGATCCATTTTGTTACATCTGGTGATCCGTTTATTTGTCAATCGCCAATGGCAGTCAGCAGGGTTTAAGAACATCCGTTGTTCGACCTGCTAGTCAAATGCGTTTTGTTAAAATATATTTTTTCACTTTTTTGGTCTTTTGGAAAATGTTGTTTGTGCTGTATTTAGACCCCTCTACCAAGAAATTTGTTTTGCATGCACACGTATAAAAATTGCAGTTTTTATCCAACGCAATCATAGGTTTGGATGTTGTTTTCAATTTAGACTTGTTTATATTTTTTCGTTTGGGCTTGTATTATATTTGCCTTCGGGTTTATATTATCCGTTCATCCTATTTCGACTCTTCAAAATTCAAGAGTCTATCCTAAATTGAGGCAAATCATATGACCTTCAAAATACCGTTTCGATTCCTAACATCACTGAAGAGACATTAATTGCCGAAATCCGGATATGGTGTACTAATTTTTGCACCTTATGTTTGCGCTATACCATCTTTTCCGCAAGTTTAATGTTTTCTGTTTGGTATTAAATTGATAGTTAAGATCCATTTTGTTACATCTGGTGATCCGTTTATTTGTCAATCGCCAATGGCAGTCAGCAGGGTTTAAGAACATCCGTTGTTCGACCTGCTAGTCAAATGCGTTTTGTTAAAATATACTTTTTCACTTTTTTGGTCTTTTGGGAAATGTTGTTTGTGCTGTATTTAGACTCCTCTACCAAGAAATTTGTTTTGCATGCACACGTATAAAAATTGCGGTTTTTATCCAACACAATCATAGGTTTGAACGTTGTTTTCAATTTAGACTTGTTTATCTATATATTTACACATATGTAAATAGAAATTAATAAAAGGGTCTATATCTGTTATTTTTATCATTGTCATTTTGCTTAGTTTCTTCTGTTACCTATATATTCTAACATCGCCGTTGGACTTCTTTTAAACTGAGTTTTACTGTGCGTTTTGATATGTGTTTGATTATTCCACATTGCATGGCTAGAGGTATAGGTTGAGATCTCACAAAACATGTTTAATCCCGCTGCATGTTGACGCCTGTCCCAAATAAGGAACCTCTAGCCTTTGTTAGGCTTGTGTAAGTTTGTTTTTTTTTAATTTTGGTTATTTTTTATGCTTTGGAGTTTAGCTAAAAAAAATCCAAACAAACAATGGGCTTCAAACTTAGCTTCACAACTTTTTAACCCAAATGCTTACAGATATCATTATCCATGATAGTAAGAATAAAACAACTTTCCATTTTTTTCTGTTTAAAAGTCCAACAACGTCTGTTGATATTTTTATGCCCCCGCCGTACCGGAGGGGGCATTAAGTTTTACCCTTGTCCGTCTGTACGTACGTACGTCCCGAAATTGGTTTCTGTTCTCTAACTTGAGTTTGCCTCAACCAAATGTAATGAAACTTATACACAATGCTTATTACCACAAAACACAGATCAAGTTTGAATTTTGGTGGCGTCACTTTAACCGATCTAGAGTTATGCCCTTTATAAAAGGAAATATTGCATAATTTTTAGTTTCCGTTCTCTAACTTAAGTTTGCCTCAACCAAATGTTATGAAACTTATACACAATGCTTATTACCACAAAACACAGATCAAGTTTGAATTTTGGTGGTGTCACTTTAACCGATCTAGAGTTATGCCCCTTTATAAAAGGAAAAATTGCAAAATTTTTATTTTCTTCTAAATATCAAGTTTATATAATATATTTTTAAAATTGGAGTTATCTTCCTTTGACCATGATTATAGTTGAATCAACTACAATCAATGCTTTATACAATGCAATGTTTAATTTTGACTACCACTGATAAAACACAGATCAAGTTGAATTTGGGTAGTGTCACTTTAACCATTATTGAGTTATGCCCCTTTATAAATAGAAAGATTGCAAAATTTTTTAGTTTCCATTCTGTAACTGAAGTTTTCCCCAGCCAAACATTGTGAAACCTATACACAATATTCATTCCAACAAAACTCAGTAAAGATCAAGTACATTTTTTTTGTTTCAGTTCTCTAACTTGAGTTTGCCTCAACCAAATGTTATGAAACTTATACACAATGCTAATTACTACATAATACAGATTAAGTACGAAATTAGGTGGCAACACTTTTACCATTCTAGAGTTATGTCCCATTATAAACATAAAAATTGCTGAATTTTTTAGTTTGTCTCATCCAAATGTTGTAAAACTTATACACAACCGTTCTAGAGTTATGCATCATTACAAATAGAAAAATTGCTGAATTTTTAGTTTCTGTTCTCTACTTAAGTTAGCCTCAACCAAATGTTATGAGACTTACACACAATGCTTATTACCACAAAACTCAGATCAAGTTCAAATTTGGGTAGTGTCACTTTTACCGTTCTTCAGTTATGTCCCTTTATAACTATATGATATGCAAGCGGGGGCATCATCTGTGTCCACATGTGGACACTATCCACATTTATTGTTAATGGCTTCTTAATGATATGTGTTGGTATCATAGGTGCTTCAGATTTACTGCATTTTTTGACATGTCACTAATATGCATCGTTCACAAACATTCTTGAGGATACCTAGTCATTAAAACGCTTTCAGAACACCTCTTTATATTTCCTGATCTTAAAGGTTCAGCTAATTAATATCCTTAGGTTCCTAAAAGAACCACTCCTAAAGGATAACTCCATATTTGCCTATTAACTTGGCAGATACGTCTTCCTCCATTCTGTCATTTACAGCCTGGGGTCGTGTTCCTATTTTGATAGTTTTACTATTCATGACGTCTCCGGCAACAAAGGAACTGCGTTAAAAAAAGGCAATAGTGCCACTTGACGATATCCCTCATTAAATTGTGTTTTCAGCTCAAATATAGCCAGGTATGCTTGGAATCGTGACATATAGCAGTGTACATGGTTTTTATCTCTCTTTCCAGTCAAAATGCAACTTGGATCAACTCAATTTTACGTATTAATGTCATTGATGGACCAGTTCATGTATCCTTCACAAATGATATTTCCTGTTGATTGCCTTTCCTTTACTAATGTTTGAGAAACTGCATGCTCAGTTTATTTTCCCCATGCATTTTCTTTGCATGATGGAACCACTGGCTACATTTAAATACTGAAAAGTACCCTTTAAACATGCTTTTAATTTGACGTCTTATATGTGTTTTTGTTGTTATATGAATTAAGTGTTGATCTTCCTTGGCTATCATGGTGTTTTATGGTGAAGTTGTCATATAATATCCTGACTTCTTCAATTACAGATCCTTTTCTTAATTGCGTATCGATCCAATGTGCTTGTGATGATGGCAATGCTCGTAAGGAAAATAAATCCTTTTGTAAACACTCGGTTCGATCCTTATCCCCAACACAATGTTTCAAATTGATATACATGTTATATTAAATGTAGACATAAGTGTTCGAAATGTTGCATTGGTCTCTCTGATATAACAATTTAACTTTTCTCAGTTCATCAAAAGAACCTGTATTCTGAGATGACATTTGTCTTGCACCACCATTAAGAAGCGTTCTTAGCTGATAAAGTCTCAAATTGGAATTCCAATTTGCACGATCCGCTACTGCATCATCTTCTGACAAAAAAGGTATTACATCATCCTGTAACAAGACATATATATTGAGTTCTCTACATGTGAATCCGATGCTTCACTTATTAACTTCACGGTTTCCATTCTTACATATTTTACGATATTATTACCAATTTTACTTATATCGAAAGAAACATCAATGCAGAACTGTCAGATTCAAATTTGAATATACACTGCCACCAGATATGTTACACACAAAATTTGTTGGTTTCTTATCTTGTCGCGACTCCGGTTAACCCTGTGAGTCCCAAGCGGACATATATGTCCACCACCGACCAGGTCCCAAGAGAACACATTTGTCCATTTCACCTTTTTATGAAATGTTATCGAGTAGAACTCGGTAAATAACCGACAGAATTTATAATTATGTACTCATTTTAAATTGCGTTCCCCGCAAGCTTTTTATACATATTTTCATGCAAATCTATCTGGCCAATCATACATCAAACAGACCGTCAATGTTCCAAAACTTTGTTACAATTCTCTATTTAGCTTTGTGCAGATGAACAGGGGATATATTTCTCCATGTACCTTTCCTTGCTCTCGGACTC